GTTCCGCTCCAGGAATCGCTGCCGCCGCTCGTCCGGATCCTCGTCCACCGTGCGCCGGCGCCGACCCCCCGTGCTGGGGGTGGGCTGGGCAGGGGACACCTGGGCAGGAGCAGGGACAGACATGGAATCAACCAGAGACCTCTAAGGTCATCAAGTCCAACCCTTGACTCGTCACTGTTGTGACCCCCAAACCCTAACCAGATCCTCCAGTGCCACATCAGACACCTCTGAGACACCTCCAGGGCTGGTGACTCCACCACCTCTATGGACAATTCTTATTCCAAGGCCATTCCCTCTCATCTTCTCCCTGCAGCCATGGCAGGAGAGACATCCCCCACCTCTCTCCAACCCTCTCAGGAGGTGTGGAGAGCCAGGAAGTCACCCTTGAGCCTCTTCTCAAGGCTCAACAGACCCAACTCCCTCAGCCCTTCGTAGAATCATATCCTCACAGAATCATCAAGGTTGGAAGAGACCACCAAGATCATCAAGTCCAACACTTGACCTGTCACTGCTGTAACCCCCAAACCCTAACCCAGATCCTCCAGTGCCACATCCAGACATGTTCTAGATCTTTAAGAAGCCTCATTGGACATGTGTTCTAGACTTTTTCTGCCCTCTTTGCCCTTCTCAGGACACTCTTTGATGCCTCCATGTCCTTCTTGCAGTGAGTGCCCAGAGCTGAGCTCAGCACTGAGGTGTGACCTCCCCAGTTCCAAGTCCAGGGCGATGATCACCACCCTAGTGCTGGTCTTGCTCCAGGCCAAGATGTTCTTGGCCTCCTTGGCCACCTGGTCACCCTGTTGGCTGTGCCACCAGCACTGCCAAGTCCCTTTGTGCCCAACACCTCTCCAGCCACTCCTGCCCCAGCCTGGAGCTGCTCAGGGCTGTGGTGGCTCAAGGGTAGGACCAACACTTTGCAAGAGGTGCAAAGGTGCAAGAGACTGAAGAGCAGCTCTAGGACAGTGGTGTCACCATGACTTGAAGGAGAAGATGCAGCTGGAACAGCCACCAGGCACAGCCAAGGAGGCCTCACCTGCCTTTGGGGTCAGGAACTCACAGAGCAAAATCTCAACTTCTGAGGGAGCAATCTGCTTTCAAAATGAACTTGGGTTCATTCTCCCTCAACATCTTCAGCCAAACAAACTCTTGGAGGTAACTGGTACCAAAAGATTTTGGATTGCCATGTGTTTCCTGGGTTTATTTCAGGAGAACAAAGGAAAAGGCAGCAATGGTTGACAAGTGCAGCAGTCCCAGTTTGGCTGTGAGGGGCAATCACCTCCCCCCATGCCCAGGAACACTCCAGCACTTGCTGTTGGGCAGCATATGGATATTAAACTCCTGGAAGCTCATCCAAGTGATGGAGCAGGTGGTGATCCTGCTGGAAGGTTGGCATTTGGCTGCTTGGCAGGAGCCAACAGAGCTGATTGCCTGAGAAGGGAGTGTTTAACCCCAGTAATTGAGCAGGGAAAAAGAGAGGGAAATATTCTTTCCAAACTCCAGACCTCATCAGGCAAATGAATGTGGTGCTGGAGTTTGTGCCTGGTGGGGTGGGAATGTGTCTGTGTCGAAACAGCACTGGAATAACAAAGTTTTAACCCATTCCTCCTCTTGCCTCAAGCCCAGGAACCATCCCAGCACCTCCAGATCAGGCAGAAGCAGCAGCAAACCTGTGGTTGAGCTGGGGAAGGAGCATCAGGATGCTGGACAAGGATCTGGCTCTGCTCCGGACGCGCCGTGACCATGGTGCTGGCTGAGCCCACCACCAGGTTGCTGCCATTCAGCGAGGAAGATGCTGTCAGACTGGCCTTCAGCCTCTGGGAGAGGAGAAAAGGGACATCAGAGGATCTGCTCTGTCTGCTGGCAAAGCTCTAAGCAGCTCCTGACAGCCAAGGAGACATCCTGCTGGGGACAGGCTCTGCAGAGCCTGTGCTTGACTTGAGGCCAGCCAAAAGCCACCACCATCTGCTCTGCCCAAAGACAGAGAGCAGCATCCAACCCAATGGGCAGGTGTCATTCCAAAACTGCTACTGGCACTGCCATCAATCCCTTTCCCAGCTGGCAGGCTCTATGGAAAGCACAGGGATTGAACAGGTTGTGGACTTGTCTCCCAACTGTGGGACCACAAGTGCCACATCTATCCAGGTTTGCTTCCCCCTAACCCATAAGGAACCACAAGAGGAAAGTTCTTTTCATGAGAGGCCTGAGCAGGAGCTCTGAATGACAATCCAACCTCTCTTCTCTTGGCTCTGCCTTCCTCAATTCCACCTCCATCCCATCTGCTCTGGAAGCAAAGCCACAGTCAGCCTGGGGAACTAAGCTTGTCCCTTCACTCACAGTGCTCTGATGTTCCTGGTGGCATTTCCAACCCCTGAAATGCTCCCAAGGCTGCTGAATTCCTCCCTGAATCCTCCAGGATCCCAGAGGACTCCTGGCTCTTCCTGAAGGCTGTGGAGCAAAAACCTCCAACCTGGAGCTGCTTCTGGGAGGAGCCAGCAAAAAAAGCTGAAGGACAACACCATAGCCATGACACTCTCCTTGCCACTCACCATTTTGGCTTCTGAGTGCACTGGAAGTCCTGATGGGGAAATGGAGCCACTGGTGTTGATGGGAGGCCCAGGAATTCCAGGAATGTTGGGCACCATGGACATGGGCCGAGCCAGCTGTGAGGGGAGGAAAGGAGACACACAGTGTTGTCACTCCATGCAGCAGCTCTGCACATGTAAAAATCCTGACAAACTATGCCCATCCATCATT